AAAAGAAAGAACAAATGCCTCCAGGTCCCTTAGTGGGAAACCCTGACTAATGGAGGCGGTTAGATAAAACTGAAACGGACACGGAGTCTTAAATGACAGGTGCATCTCACAAAAGGGAGGGGGCGGTGCTAAGGGTTACAGGTTTATCCGGCTTCACAACTGACCCTCAGGATTTCTCCCCCTGGTCTAGAGGAAATCAATCACAATTATAGGATGGCAATCGTAATCGCAAGCTCTTCCAAGTCCACCTTCAGCCTATATTGGAATTGAGATGCTAAAAGGGGAGTTAGGAACTGTCTGAAAAGAAAAGGCTTTTTGTCGGAAGCGACGGTGGAGCGAGGTGCTTCCAAAGAAAGCCTGAGCGCCACCCAGAAGTGCTGGCTGAAGACGGCAGGACAAACGCCACCTGCCTTTTGAGATCTGAAAACCCGCAGTGTGCCGGGAAAGCAGGAGTCTGTGCCTCCTCCTGGGAGGAAGTGAAAGGGAGCCGGAGCTCGGGCTCACCTGGATCCAGCTACTGAGGGAAGGAAGCGCAGGGAACGCAGCCACGAGACGGCTGGCCTGGCTGTGCTCCACGAGGCTGAGAGCAAGGGGAAAGCTGGTTGGTCTCAGTTTATGAAGTTGTGGGGACACTGAGCCCAGGCCAGGCGGTCTGAAGTGTAAGGAGGTATGTGGACCCCCAGGCTGGCAGCCGGTACTGTCGGTGGGGCCGGCCGGCTACAGCAGAGCCGATCACACAGTCAGCCTCAATGGTTGTGCTGGGTTTCCCAGCGCATGGGCGGAGAGGGACCCCACAAGGTCCATGGAAAGTGAAACTCAAAGATAATAGTGTTCCCACCAATCTTTTGAAGCTCCTGCCTATAAAAAGTATGCTGACACGACACTGTGGATGGAAAAGTCTGAAACAGTGTGAGCATGGTCAACACACACAAGAACAGAGGCTGCTGGGAAACGGCCCCCAGACTCGCACTGTAACTGACACAGCCCCACCACACAGGGCGTTATCAGACAGCTCTCACACCACGTGGTCACTGCCAGCATGACCCAGAAAATGCAATAGCCCAGTTTGCCAAAATCACCAAGAATTCAACAAGGAAACTGGTGACCCTGTCTACCAGCAACAAATGGGGGGAGGGGAGGGGGGATGAAGTAGGCAGTATTTGTAACAGCAGAACATACGAGAGTACCGAGGTGTAAACCTCAGAGGACAAATGACTGGGTACCCAGGTATAAACCTAAAGGCAGGGGAGCACACCTTTGCCTGACACAGGAGCTCAGTTTGCCAGCCGCTGCAGGAAGGGCTGGGTACGTGCAGAGTGCTCCAGCTCAGGAAAGCCCACTGCAGTCTCCTGCTGCTGACGTCCATCCTGTGACGCTGTGCAGGGCCGGGCTCCAGGGGGGCAGGGGCAGCCCTCCCTCCACAGCCTGTGGCTGCCTCATCAACCGGCCTTCCTGTCCCTCCATGCGCTGAGAATGGACGTGCCCTTTCCCACAGCTTAAAGAGTAATCCCCTTGGCACAAGACAAGCAAAGCCACTGCCACAGAGTCAATTCTGACTCACAGACACCACAGGACAGGGTAGACCTGCCCGTGTGGCAGGTGCCTGCGGTAAACCGGGCACAGCCACGTGAGGAAGGTGCTGCTCCCGCCAACCGCCAAGGGAACGGCCTGACCGGCAGGTGCTGTGCTGGGCCGCACCGCCCACCGGGTCGTCCCAGGAGGTGGGGGGTCACCTGCACTGACGTTTCCGCAGGGGCACCGTCTCAGGCATTCAGGAGCCCCACCAGCCCCAGCCCTGCATCAAGTTCCCGGGGCCCATCTCCCGGCGTCCACGGAAGGGCAGAGGAGGACGCCGTGCGGTGGGGGCTTTGGGGAGGCGCGGGGGAGAAGTGAGTCGGCTCAGGTCTCTGGAAAGGTGATGGTTACTGCATGAAGGGGAGTTTGGGGCAAAGCTGGACACAACTCCACCAGGACAGGGAGGGGCGAGTCCTTTTGTGAAGACTTACTAGGAAGGTGAGAGCCCTCTCGGGGGCAAACTTTTCCTCCGGAAAAGTCTCTGACCGTCTGAGAGCACTGGGGTCCGGAACCCACTCAGGACAAAAGCCCATCTTTAGGCAGGCTTTAGGCCCCAAAACTGCTCAAACCTCAATCTCAGCACGTGGCGTGGAAATTCTCATGGCCCCCCACCCTACAGCTTTCCAGACTGTGAACCCCCAGAATATGGCTCATGGCAGTCAGTGCCCATGTGGAGGGCTCCAGACGCCACCCCGTGGTCAGTGTGAGCACCTGCAGGGCCAGCACATCCCCTGACCCAGGGGTCATTGCCTCTGGAGTCTCTCAGACACCAGACACCAAGGACACTGCCGCCAACAGAGAGAAGCCAGGAAGGGAGTGTCCTCTGGGTGCCGAGACCCGTGGCAGGAGCCCCCTTGAATCAGGTGACAGAGTTGGGGCACCAGTGGGGTGGGGTGGCTTTCAGAAGACAGCTCAGAAACCCCACCGTGCCCGACCCAGTCCTGCGGGGCGGAGAGCGGGAACCCACTCGGTGCACTGGCTTTAGTGTTCTCGAAGGACCCTCCTTGCAACCCCAAAGACCCTCCCTGCACCCCAAGGACCCTCCCCGCACCCTAAAGACACACTGGCAGTCTCCTCATTGGCTGCTCCCAGGGGAACCAGTGTTTTCAGCAAAATTATCCAAAATAAGCCAGGCCTCACCTGCCGCCTGCAGTCACCTCCGGCTCACAGGCCCCTGCCCCACCCCCGTCAGGGACCCTACCTTCTCGCCAGCTCTGGGTGACGGCTGCGCTTTCTCGTAGTCCTTCTTGGTCTCCAGAATCTTCTTCACCAGCCCGCCTGTGGGAGCCGGGCGTTAGCTCGCCCAGCCACAGGGACAGAGATGG